GGGGGCTGCAGCCTGTGGCCAGCCGATGCATGCACGCTTGTTGTACTGCCTTGAGGCTCAGTTTTCTCTGCGGTGGAAGCCACAGCTCATTTTCTGAGAGATGCCCAGATCTAAGACTGAAAAAAAACCTTACTGAATCCCCCTCAGATTTTTCTTCTGGCTGTCCATGACCATGACCTGTTCTGTGCTGCTGGCACCGGGCTGCGGAGAGAATGGTGAGTAAGAAATGGCCCTGGAGCCCCGAGGCTGATGGGGAACTCAAGAGAAACCACCCACAAGTGTCAAGAGGAGAGAGGTCTTAATCTGGATTTGAGCTCAGGCTTCAGCAGGCGCCTTCCCACCTCGGCATGCGCCGGCAGCTTTGGTGCAGCTGCTGATGCCGCATGTTTTCAGCAACGTGCAAAGGCTGATGGGCAAATGGGAGAAACTGGAGTGGCGGGCTGGCTCTGTGATGGCCAGCTCTACCGGACTAGATTAATATTAACCTGCAAAACTGCTGCCACAGCTTTTTGACGTTTAATAACCTTAAAGTATCTCACCGTGGGCTAGTAAAGGAATCCCTCGATGGGAATAGTCTGCCCTGACCATCCAGCTGCAGAAATTGATTTGTTTAAACTGAAAAAATACAGTTGTCTGGCTTTAAAGAGTTAATAATGCACAGATTTGCTGGAAAGCTCATTAATGAGGTAAAGAGATCAGTTTCTACAAATCGGTATCGCTGTGGTTTGTGATCTCTCTGACTAGATGTGGGCAGTCCAGACAGCAGCTGCTGGTATTTTTAGGGAGGTTTAAAGTTAATGTATTCAAAGATTACTTGGTCTGACTAAAAGAATTTCGCTTTGAAATCCCAGTGCTTTGATCACAGCAAGAGAAGAGTCACGGCAGCACTACCCAGTGTGCGGAGCACTGTGGCCGTAGCTGGTAATGCCAGTGCCTCTATGGATTTGTCAGCATTTCTGTCTATATGCCATTTTTTGGTATTTATGAAGCTCTTCCATAAGCAACCCCCCAGTTCAGCACACAGGGCTGACTCACAAGCTGGCTACTGACTTTTTTTTTTCTGCAAAATTGTATTGAATCAAGCAAATCAAGCCTGACTGTGAACACTCTGAAGTGATCCAGACTGATCTTACAGGGGCTCAAGCAAGTATGTCCCATCACTCGTGTACGTTCAAAGAGCCTCTCTGAATTAATTTAATACTCTTTGGAAATTGATGCTGATTTATATAATGTGCTGATAGCCTGTCCTCCCCTATGGGCTTCTCAGCAACAGGAAACTCCTCACCCCCATCTGCAGGTCGTGGAGTTACTGCTGTTTGCACAAGGGACAGGGACTGTGCCTGGAGCTGGGAGATGCCCAGTCCTCACCACCAGTGCTTGGGAACTGTGGGCATTTCTGTACACAGAGAGCTATAAACACGCTATAAAAGTACTTCACCTAATATCAAATTGTGTTAAAAACTCCAAAGCCTATCTCCATTCGAACCACGTGCGTTTCCTTCTCCTTGGCTGTTTCCTAAGATGCACAGTTGGAAGTGTCTGGTGTGCTACACGAGCAGCTCATCTGTGTGAGCCACACCGTCCTGAATGCTGCAGGCATTTGCCTTTCTCTGCCTTCCTGTTAAAACCAAGAAAAAAAAAAAACCAACAACTATGCTTCTATTTCTACCAAAAATCAAGGTTTAACTTTTACAGGGCCTTTCCTCCTTTCCCCCTTACAGAGGAGCCGGCCCAGGGGTGTCTCTTGCCCCAGGCAAGGCGAGAGCATTGCCCCCCACCCTGCCAGCCCATCCCGGCCAGGGCTGAAATCCCAGCCGTGCCACCACTGCTGTGCAGCCACCACTGGCCTCCTGCTGCCCCTCGCGTCCGAGAGGCCACAGAAACCCCGTGGGACTATTGAACATGCCTGGGTTTGAAGTGGTGCCCAGGAAGCTTTCCAGGTCAGTGCCCACGATCAGTTCTTCAATCACTTCTATTCACTTCTTTTAGTCCTTAAAATAAAATGATGCACATGTATGCCAGGACACCAAGAGCAAGAGGGAGAAAGATGATCAGTATGAAGGCATTCATTAGGCCTAACAAAAAGATGGGAAATGCTTCTTTTTTTCAGTCCTCCTTTACAAAGAAGACGTTGGTAGATAGGAGCGTGCACCCTTTGGAGAAAATGAGATTTTAAGGCTATGCATGCCCTCACTTGAAAAGCGTGGGTTTAATTCCAAAACTTCCTGCCTGCATCTGAGAGCACATCTGTGCACTACACACCATAATAACGTGATATTGGTAGGAAAGAGGGACACATCGTTTCAATTAAACC